GGGGCCGTTTGGCCACGCGCGGCGGAGGCGGCGCGGAGCGCGGTAAGGAAGCGGCGCGGGCGGCGTCCAGTGGGGCGAGGAGGGGCCGCGCTACCGCGGGAGGTGGCGGGTCTTCACCGGAGCCAGCGGCGGCTGCCGGAGCCCTTAGTAGCGCTGAAACCTTCCCGAGGAGAATCTCCGGCTCGTTGCGAGGGTGGCGGGACAGGGATTGAACTTCTTAAACAGCACAGAGAGGAACCCTTGGCTTTAATCAAACGCGTTGCCGCAGTGCCGGGCGGGTGCGGAGGGGCGCGGGCAGCGAAACGGCCGCCAACGGCTCCCGAGGCTCACGCAGCTCCTCGAGCTTCAGCGAGTCAAAAATACTTGTTGAGGAAGCGAAAAGGTAACTTGGAAGTCGTCAACAAGCGCCAAACCGGACAGGTTTCCTTCATTTGCAGAACAGAGCGCCCCTAGTGCGAGCGGTTCTGCAGAAACTGCGGCTCTGCCCAGGTGCCCGTCAGCTGCTCAGGGGAGGTTCTCCTTAGGGTGAAATCCCTTCGCCTCTCCTGTCAGAGGCAGTCACAGCTGTACAAGTTGCTGATTTCAGTTTGGGCCCAGGGCATATTGCAAGAGTTGGTCTGTTATAAGATCACAAAATGACACCACTTGGAGTTTGAAATTGTTTGTGAAACAGAAGAAAAAAACCCTCGTAAGCCCTAGAGAAAGAAAAATTGTCTCCTCTGTGCAGCCTCAAAAGCTGTTCTCTTCCATTGGGTGGAAAACTGAAGATCTCAGAATGTTTTGCAAGTTATATTGCTAAAGAGGTTGGGAGATATTTCATGCAGAAAGTTAATCCTTACTAAGCCCAGAAACAAAGCCTATGATACAAGCAGCACTTTGGTTTTATTTGAATTTTAAGTTCCTGGAACTGTTTTTGTAATACTGCACACCCTGCGTAACTTAACCTAGTATCTCCAAAGATGATCATCAACCTACAAAAGTGCAGTATAAAGTATAAAGAAAATATTAGATCAGCACAACCAACCCAGGCTGCTTTGGACATTATGAAATTCAATCTATGGAAATAATCTTTGTGGCTTTCCAGCAGTTCTTAAGGGGTCTGCCTATGGCAACTAGTTACAAAAAAAAAAATCTGCTGCCCAGACTATTAAAGGACCTTCTCACTCACTGAAATTTAAATGTTTCCTTTTAGAATTCTCTATATCTTGTAAAGCCAGATTGTCATTCCCCAAAGAAAAAAAAAAGAAAACTTTTTAAATGACTTGTTAGAACTCCCCCCACTATTCTCAGAAACACTCATCTGTGAGAGAGACAGCCTATCTCAGTGTTGACTGTTAATGGCACAGTCAACAGTGTTGGGCCTTGGCCCAGTGTCCTTCACCACATCTGAGCAGTGTCCAAATCAGGACTGACTTCAGCTTCTTCTTCTTTGTGCTTAACCCCTCTTCCTCAGAGAATTATCAAACCGCTTAAATTTGCCACTTCCATTAGGGGTCTGTGGTGCTTTCCCTGTGCTCCCTTGGGCGCAGGCAGAACAGCCTTCCCGTCTCCGCTGGAGCTGGAATCTCTCTCCTGCAGCTCGGGAGCTGATCAGCACAGGGATTCCCCCTCCTCAGAGGAGGCTTGGAGGCTCCTATCTCATTTCATTTCAGAATTTTGCAACTCAGAAACCTCAAGAGTAATTTTAAAAGCACAAACTCAGCAAAACCAGCTTGGGTTCTTTAGAGTGACTTCTGAGCTTTAGCGTACACGCTTTTGAGCTTTCCCTGGAACTGTGAAGCCCAAGGGCCCTCAGTTCAAATGCTGCAATTAGCTCTACCTCCTCGCACGGCCAGGAGAGCCATGCAGCGAGGAGGAGGCGGCAGAGGGAGCTGCGGAGGTGGCGCAGGGAAGGGGAGTCCTGGGGAAGGGGAGTCCGGCCGGGCTGCGCCGGCAGGAGCAGCTGGTGCTCCCGGGGTCCCTGCGGGTGCTCCCTGGATGGACACGGCTTGTTCTGATCCCGCCCGGCGCATGCGCTTCTCAAGGACGGAGTCTGGCCGTCCGCACCAGTGTCTGTGTTTCGTGTGATGAAAACGTGCTCAGCTTATTGTTTTTAGGCATTTATGGCTTTGCTTCGAAACTTGTGTATGGCAAATATAGTATGATTCCTTGAGCAGAAATGTTTTGTTAGGTAAGAGAAGGTTTCAGGTAGATTTATAAAGGTGTTAGTTTGCTGTAAATTTGCATAACTGAGAACTAAGTTGATCTTTGGAAAGGGTGTAATTGAGATGAAAAAGCTGATATTTTTCTTCCTGCTCCTTCTTCCACCCTCTGATTATTCATTTTGTCCCTATTTGTTACTTCATAATGGAAGTGTGGAGATGGAGTTCAGTCTTTCAACCTTGTGTTTAAGATGAAAAGTTTCAAAATCGTTTACATTTTTCTGTATTATAGTAACAGTCACTGTTCAGAAGGTCAGATGTTGTGTTTTGAAATCTCTGCCTCTCCAAGTTATCAAAAGGCTTGGCATCTACCTAAAAGTATAATTTTGTGCCTTGCATGCTTTTAATTAGTATAACTCTTTTTAAGCACACATAACAAAATGCCACTTATTACTACTATTCTGTATTGCTTATAGTGACTAAAGTAAATAAATAATTTAGTTATTATCAATTCTGATGAATTGGTATTGCAATTCATTTTTCTGTATTAGGGTGCTGTATCTTCCTCTCTCTCCCCCTTTTTAAATCTTTTGTCATTATAAATGAAAGGCTTTTCAAGACAGGATCATTAGGGCTTTCCAATGCATTTGTGCTCTAGTCTTC